AAGTTAGGAAGAGATTTGATATTTTACAAAAGATCAGGAGATGGTATACATGTGGTCCACATGGTATCCAGACCAGATGGGATAATAATAATAATAATCCATACATTTTGCCTTTCATGTCAGGAAGACATCGCAAAGCGCTTCACAGGATCTACTGCAAAGTGCAATGACTGTTTTGTTGGCAAATGTGGCAGAAAAGTTTGTGCATAAACAGCCATGGAGTTAATGACCAATTTTATTTGGGGCATCGTTAGCCAGGACACCAGGAGAAACTCTTTTCAAATAGTGCCACACGATCATTAACATTCAGACAGCAGACATGGCCTTGGTTTAACATCTCATCTGATCAAAAGCTCCTCTAACAATGCAGCACATCCCCAGCACATGCATTGGGGTGTTAGTTTGAACTATATGAGTTAGACTATAAGGGATCAAGTGTACATAAGTGTGTGTGTGTATATATATATATATAAATAAGGAACACACCTTGCAATCTCTTGAGGAAATAGCTGAGGTTTTGGTTAATACTTTTTGGAACCCTACAAATACTGCAGTTGTTATTTGAAGATTACAATTAATTCTCAAAGTTGAGATTGATTTCTGCCCTTCTCCAGTCTTATCATAAATATCAAATTCATGAAAACTGCTATGCATATCCTAATTCACTGGAGAATGCATTAATATATTCAAGTTAATTATATCGTAGTCAGTGGATAGGATTCGTCAGAATTAACCAATGTCCTCTTCATTATTTATAAGGTTAAAGAAGGAGTGCAGTTCAGCCACACGGAGTCCCTGAGGCATTCCTTCCTTGGCTTGAAGTACGGTGATTAAAGTGCTGGAAAGGTCAAACAGCAGAATATATTTAATACTCGGTTGCGCACAAAGCAAATAGAACGTTAATAGGAACGTGAGAATGTACAGGAAACAGAATAAACCACCGTAGTTCATCTGGCCATCCCTAAAGTTTAAAACAAATCCTACATGACCATCTCTCATATCCCTCTTGTATTGATTTCTTGGTCAAAGGGCTGTCAAATTCCCTCTTGAATACTCGGCCACTCCTAGTTGGAACAGGAATCTATTAGTAAAATCTTGATTGCCACTAAGTTATTAGCAAATGAATGGAAATAATGAGGAACATTAGCATCCAGTGTAATTTGTAAGCGTTTTGCAAATGACTCTAGAAAATGGGATTCCACAGGGTTCATGAAGCTCCGGAGGGGGCCAGCTTCTCCTGAAGTGGGGAGGGAGGAGAATGCCCGCAAAGCCAGGTCCTGCAGGTTCAAATCTGATCAGCAGCCATCATCTAAACTCCTGTTTTAAAATTGGTGGAAGTTTTCACTTAAGTGCATGTAGAATAAATACTGAAAATGATATAAGATTGTGGTATCACAGATTGTTCGCTTGCTGCAATAAACTGTTAAGTATCACTCAATTGGAAACGTTGAAGAGATTAGGTCATTCTCACTAGTTCCTCGACGGGATTAAAATGAGTTAATGTCAGTGAACCTTTCCATGTGCATAATGGGAAACAAAATGTGTATGTGTGTCAGCGGGCACTAACATAAACAACAACAGACTGCAATACAATGTCACTGTGCATGAATTCCAAATTAACTGTTTATGACTCATTGCCACTAGCAAGTGGAATCAAATTGTTTATAGAAAATGGAATGCAACTGCTCAGTGAACTGCAGAGTAAATAGTATAAAACTAAGGGATATTTGGTTGTAACTTCAATCTAGTGCTTCCATTTTGGAATTTAGGTAACTCTTTCAATCTCACCAGCTTCACACTGTTCCTCTGATTGTCTCAGTGCAATTACTGCCCTATAATTACTGTATTTTATATCTGCTCTCAACTTTACTACCTCTATTTTGTATTTAAATCTCCTTTCTTCCCACTTTTTATAATAGTCCTAATAATCCTTGCAAAGGAAATAGCGCCTGATCCCAATCCCTAACTTGGGTCCAAATCCCTGACTGTCCTCCTGACGTCCTTTGGGACGTCCTCCTGACGTGACGGGTACAATGCAAATGTAATTTGTTATTGTTGTTATAACATCAACCCTCAAAGCACCTATTGTTAAGTGTAGTACCTGTGCATTTGTAGGTGAACAAAGCAGCTGTCTTGCACACAACAGTGTTCTCCAAATAAGTGATTGATCAATATAACTAGAGGATTGTTGGCCAGGGCACTGTACAAAACTCTTCTCTTTTAAAATGGTGCCATGGGTGCATTAATTCCACTTAAACAGGCAGATAGATTTAGCATATCATCCAAAGGAGTCCTGTAGCTCAGTGGTTAGAGCACTCGCTTTGCAAGCGAGAGACCTGAGTTCAATTCCAGGCAGAGGGCGAAACCTTGGGCAAGTTTCCTTACTCCACACACCTAATAATAATCCCTCCAAAACCAAAAACAATAATAAATTGGTCATTTTCAATCTACGACTGTTTGTGGGACATTGCTGTGCGCAATTGGCTGCCGCGTTCGCCCACAAATATACAGTCAATTCACTTTACAGTGTGTTCTGTGAAGCGCTTTGGGACATCCTCCCAACGTGAAAAGCGCTATATCAAATGCAAGGATTAAAGGACTGCACCTCCAACAAAGCAATGCTCCCCAGCACTGCACTGCTATAGTGTGAGTTTAGATCATGAGCTCAGGGTACCTGATGTGGGACTTGAACCATCCTCCCCACTGGCCCAGAGACACGAGTGCTACCAATAGAGCCATGCTGACACCTATTTTTTAACCAATCTCTTTCCATGTTGTGGACCCAATGATGTTCATCTCCAGTGTAGGTGGGCAGCAATTTGTTTCTAGACATTTCATTCCTATACGATAAACTCCCATCCGCATGTTCGGGTGGATGTTACAGATACCATTACACTGTTCAAAAAGAGAAGGGAATTCTCCCAGAGTCTGTGTAGTGCAGATGAAGTAAAGCAGGCCAGCGCTTGTAGAGCAGAGGATGCAGACAGTTGGTAGGGTAAAGAATTTAATAATATTTGGAGACAAGTACATAGATTTACATAGACTGTAAGGCATGAAAACAAGCTATTTGGTGCAACCAGTCCAGTGTTTATACTCCGCATGAGGCTCCACCCACTCCTCCCATACCCTTCTATTCCCCTCTATTTCATGTGAAGGTCGAGCTTCCTCTTGAATGCATCTGTACTGTCTGATTCACACACCGCTTCAGGCAGTGAGTTCCACATTCTCAATACCCTTTGCGTGAAGTGGTTCTTCCTAACTCTCTTTTGGATTCCCTTGTTGCTATCGTATCCTTGTGTTGTACAGTCTTGTTTTAAACCCATAAGGCTGTCTTGTTGTGATGTCTAGCAATGTTAAGGATAGTGTTTTGAAAATGCTTGGCTCATTAGATTTATAAATTCACAAAAGGTTTAATTAAGCATCCCAATCATGTGGAAAGTAGCATTTGCATCAAGCCAGTTGTTTAAATGTTTCTCTAGCTAACGGGATGAATGTTGTGGCAATGAAATAGCTTATAAAATACTGCTGGGTGAGATGCAGATATATTACAGTGAGGTTCATTGCCATAGGTAGCAATGTTCAAGTCCTCTGTTACTCCTTTAGTTGTGGTGTTTTACGTTAGTTTTGTTTGAGTTTAGTACATAAAAGTATGCTTACTCCATCCTTAATTTGGCAGATTAATTATTGCACATCACGTTAATCTAAGTAATGTGGTGTCTCAATGAACACGTGTCACTTCACGCCTACCCCACGCTACGTTTGTGATCACCTGCAACCCTCTGACCCAGCTGCTCCCTTCGCTTAATGAACACTGACCTGCTTCATTTCTTCCAGCCTATCCATCCCACGAATGTTTGTGGAACACTGCTGTGTACAATTGGCTACCGGGTTTCGCCCACAAAATATACGGTCAATTCACTTTACAGTATATTCTGTGAAGCAGTTTGAGACGTCTCGAAGACATCAAATGGAAGGATTATTATTATTATTAGCGGGTGAGCTTTCAGCCAATATAAATAAAAACTGTATATGTGTACTGGCTGCCAAAGTGATAGCAATGTTGAGGCCTCTCTCAATGTATTTGAAATGTTGTATAATTAAAAGCTAATGTAAGAATATTTGTGTTTTGCAGTCCTTGTTGGATGGTTTGGCTGACCTCCCTGAATGGTATGGGGTTAAGGGAATGCAAGCAAACTGGATAGGAGATTGTACTGGATGCTACTTCGATTTTGAATTGAAAGTAAGACTTTATGGCCATTTGATAGTTAACTTTCATTTGTTGATTCAACCAGAGCTACCTGAACTCTATTAAAATGTATATAAAACTCTATATTAATATTTAAGGCTAGTGTTGAAAGTGTGGGGATTTTTCAGCATTATGTGTCACTGTTCCATTAGAAACGTCACTGGACTCTCTCGTTCATTTTTCAGACTTGGAGGTGTTCAGCATGTTCTTGGGAAGCCTAATAATTGCAACGCCAAGGCCTTATGTGCTCAACTCTCACAGCTTAGTTTACAAGTTACAGTATTTGGGTTTTCATGTACTCAATGTAACCATGTTTCATCCATCAGTTCCTCTATAACCAATGCACGTGTTTATGTACTACGGTCTTAGACTACAGAGTGCCTTTCCTTTCCAAATTTCAATTCAGAAAACAAGTTCTAAAAATAACTATTTGATCATCCTCGCTGGCTATTTGAAAACGAGTGGTACAAAACTCCCTGCATTGCAAAAGGAGCTGTGAATTTTAAGGTATTTTGTTTCATTTTTAAAAAGCACAGCAGAAAGTGGCATAGCTCTTCGATCAGATTGTAAACACTGAAGTAGCTGTGCAGGTGTCCAAATGCGGTGCTTTAAGCAGTCAGTACGTTGTGACACCACAATGGGTATCTGTTCTTTTTGGTAGACTTTACTCAGCTGATCCATCCTGTACTAGGTCAACGGGAGGTTCGTTGGTGAGAAACTGCCTGCGTACTGCTTCACCCCAGAGGCCATTTACGGTGCGTCCCATCTTACCATCCTGCCTAGTCACAGGCTGCTGCACGGCAACAGTCACTTGAAGGACTTTCTTCAGAAGTATTTGGTGTCTGATACAGGTAAGGGTGTGAGGCTATTTGTTTTTAAACTTAAGTAATTCAGAACAGTGCCTGTCCCCAGTTTGTGCTTTAGCCAGGTGAGAGCAGGAGGCACTGCAGCTGCCTCCAGCATTCCTGGGCCAGGGATGGGTGAAATCAGCCGGTCTCCTGATCTCTTTTGGTTACTCCTGATGGAATGGTGCACATGTGAACGTCATGTGAAGATAGCTGATGTCACATCCTGTACATGAGCAAGGTGCCGGAGGTGATGGTGAACTGACGACCTAGAAGATGGCCATTTATTAACACGGGAAACGAGCAGTTCCGTGCTGAGAGTTTTCCCAGCAACCACAGATACACCAACAACAGCTTGCATTTGTATAGTGGCCTTCACATAGGTAGTGTCCTGGGGTGTTTAACACATGGGTAGTGTCCTGAGGTGCTTAACACATGGGTAGTGTCCTGAGGTGTTTAACACATGGGTAGTGTCCTGAGGTGCTTAACACATGGGTAGTGTCCTGAGGTGCTTAACACATGGGTAGTGTCTTGGTGACTGAATAGTGCGATTGAAGAGGAAAGTCTTCAGGTGTGATTTGAATACAGGCAGAGAGGTGGGCAAGACAGAGGGATTGAGGCAGAGTTCCAGAGATTCAGGGCATAGTGTCTAAAAGCACAGCTGCCGATCGTGGAGTGGAGGGGATGCAGATTGTTTAGAAAACTGTGTTTTTAATATGTGTGCCTCGTGCAGAACGTCCGCAGGGCACCCACAATTAAAAGTGGACTGCACTCCAGAGAGGCACTTAACAATGGGATTTACCACTATCTAATTGATCAATGGGAAGCATGTTAGTTTTGTTAATCTTTATTGCTGAATAATATGCAGAAGAATTGATTACAAAATAACATTTCTCTTGCTGTAAAATGGTTCTAAAAGAAAGGACCTGTAGCTGGTCAGGTCAAGTAAACCTTTTGCTCTTGCAGTACTATTGCACTGGCTCATGAACGTTAAGCAAGGTTTTCATTTTATTTTTCTTTGGTGTCTGGATTCAGATTGAAAACAGACTGATAGGCTGGAGGTATCCTTCCTGCCAGTTGTGAAGGCTATATATGAAATGTGTTTGTTGAGTCTCAATTGAGTTGTTACTCAGAAAAGATTGACCCACAAAATTGCTTAAACTTCAGAGATCAGGCTTGTGTTGGGAGAGGCTTGGTAACTGGTTGTGTGCCAATGTTAGGGAAAGGGAAGCAAAAAATATCAACTGACTTTGTTGGCTTTCTCTTCTGTCCATCCTACCCAAACCCAAAATTGTAACAAAGTATTGCACATGAAGTATTTCTCTTGTATATTTCAATTTAATTTCAGAAATGGCACCTTCAGACCGTCTTAATGTAGTGGCACATGCAACGAAAATTGTTTTGAATGTATTTGAAAGTTGCAGTGGAAATATGGTACTCCAGCAAATGTTGATCTGCCAACAAGGCGCCTTTACCTCTCCCCACAACCCCCATCCTTAGTTTATTCTTGGATCATAATCAGTGTTCCAGTCTCTTCTGCTATAAATAATTTATTTGCCTCAGTTCTGTAGTTGCGTTAGAAGCCCATTTTAATGAGTTTTAATATTTGACTCTTAAACTCTCGAGTGACTTTGTATTAACATCTATACATTTAAACTGTTAAATATGGGATTCATTGTCTGCGTGTCTTCCAGATTGCCTAATGCCAGTGACAGCTGTGAACTTATTAAATGATCAGGAGATTCCTGTGGTCATTTCAGCCAAGAAAGAGTTTGATGGTTACTTAGATACAGTCATAGGTAAGCCTTTGGCACTCAGAGTCCTGGCTAGTACCAGGTTACACTGACTTGAGTTCTGAAAATCTACAAATGTCTATAGATCTGTGCCATGAATTTGGTTGTCCAGTGGAAGCCGCTTAAGCCGGACATACCGGAGCTGCCCATTTTGCCCAAGGTTAACTAAAGTTTCCTTACCTCTTCCCGCCCAGGAGAAGAGTGGCAGCGGCTCCTCCTCCCTCCCATTGAATGGGAAGGGGACCAATTGACGGCTCTCAGGTGACTGCAGCTGCTCGTGAATGGATGGGCTCCACTTATCACAAGCGGCTCCAGGCTTGTCAGTCAATCAATTTGACTCCTCCCATCTCCATCCCAGAGCCGCTCGTGGTGAGTGAGTTGACGCAGAAGCGGCAACAACCAAGGCGGTATTTTGTCCGGATAAACCGGCATATTTAAAACTAGTAACAATACAAATTAATCGGGGTCGAGTGTTTAGCCTGATTTACCCGATGTCTGGAGTGAACCGACATCCAGCTAAATCGGCTTCCACTGTATGTAAACTGTTCTTCCCATTTTTATAATATAATTCTACTTGCTTCATTCCTACCCCATACAATGCACTCCAAGCCTTCCCGCCTCAAGTGAGAGCAGTTTGCAAGTGCTTCTCACAGGGAGAGACTAGACTGCACATTCCATTCCAGACCCAGGGAAATTCCCATGTGTAGGTGGCACACGTATGTGGAACACTATTTTCAAGCGTGGTGTTGGGTATCTGGATGTCAAGACTCACCAAAAAAAAGCATCTCACGCAGACCTCTATCTTTGCTCAGGTGTCAAGCAGGGGGATATATACTTAGAAGTAGATACTCAGAAGTGGACTTACCCAGAGAGGAGTTCCAGAGAGTTGGCGTGACGTGCTTTGTTATCGGATGGATGGATCTCATTTGCACTGTTGGATTCCTTATAAACAAAGCTATTGGATTCCTTATAAACAAAGCCATCTTGGCAATAATGCAAATCAGACCCCTGTTACCCGTTCAAAAATAATGGTTTGAACACACAGGTGTAATTGCTGTAATGTGTTTGTGGTTCTTTTGTAAATGAAGGTATTCCCAGTGCAAGTCCAGATGACGCAGCCGTTGCTAACAAGCTGGGTCTCGAGGGTTTGGAGGTTTTTCACGTCCTGCCTGATGGTTCCGAGAGACTGCAGAATTCTGGGGAGGTCAGTGACTGGGGGCTTGCGACTGTGTTTTGGGGGTTTAAAGCTGGTGTTTCTCTTCAACTGTGCTTTTGGCCAACACCCTCAAATTCTGTCCTCCTTTCTTCCCTGCTGGATTCTGGAGTATTTTCTGAGGCTTTCTGGCCCAGAAGTTTGATCAGACTGACGGGATCAGGCTCTGCTGTGACTAGCTGCCTTTTGAACTGTACCACAGTAGAAGAAAAAAGAAGTGTATGTCTGTATGTGTGTGTGTGGGAGATTATAAACAATCTTCATTGCAATAATAACCAGGGCTCTTTACCTTTTCAGTTCACGGGTCTTGATCGACAGTCTGCAACTCAGGCTATCTTGGAGCGGGCAAGGAGAAATGCAATCGGTGGCCATCTCACAAGCTGTAAAATACGTGACTGGTTGATTTCTCGACAGAGATACTGGGGCACCCCTATCCCCATCATCCACTGCCAGGCGTGTGGTGATGTACCAGTGCCTTACCAAGACCTGCCTGTGCTCTTACCCAAGGTGCAGGCCTTTGTGGCAAAGGGAGTTTCTCCACTGACTACGGTGTCTGAGTGGTTCAACTGTACGTGTCCTAAGTAAGTAATGTCCCTGTTCCCAAACTACTCAATCAACTTTGCAGCACTTCCACTGGTGAAAAACAGGGTAGCTTTAAATGAGTGCCAGGATATAATAGTAATCAATAATAATAATCATTGCATTTGCTATATGACTTTTGTTGGTGGACTTCTCAATGCTCCACATAAATTTTACTATAAAGTGTAGATTTGTACACTTTATTTTGTAGTTGAGCAGATATTAATAATAATAATAATAATCCTTGCATTTGATATAGCGCTTTTCACATCTTCTCGATGTCTCAAAGCGCTTCACAGAATAGACTGTAAAGTGAATTGACTGTATATTATATTGAATATGACTGGTTTGTAACTAGCTAACCAGTTATTAACCAGTCATATGCAATGGGGAGGGAAAGCGAAGTGCAGTGGATTCAATTTGGAAATCATCTGTTTGTCACCAACTGTTGTTAAATTAAACTGTCGCTTATAAAATGGCGATTGGAATTTATTACTAACTTTGTTTTTAATGATCGACTTTGATGCATTCAGGACTGTTGGATGTTTGCAGTCTGTAATGTGTAACTTGCCTCCTCCTGCACAGATGCAAAGGCCCTGCTCAAAGAGAGACAGACACCATGGACACGTTTGTGGATTCAGCCTGGTATTACTACAGATACACTGACCCGCATAATACGCAGGAGTGAGTTGATGATCATCTGTGCTTTTATCACTTTTCTGCTTTGTTTTGGGATAAAAAAGTTATTTCAGCAGCTTGTGATGTCCTCCCGACGTCAAAGGCGCTATACAAATGTAATTTGTTTTTGTTTCTTTCCCTCGCCCCCACTGTTCATCAGCTGCAGGAAAGTGGCTGATCTTGGTTTCTGTGGTCTCCACTAAGGGGCGCTCGTGGGTGGGACCTTCCCTTTTCCATTGGAAAGTTCCCAGCCTCTGCTTGATGCTTCCTAGCTATGAAAGAGCAGAGATTGGAAACTCAGTGTTGCAAGGGATATGCTGGCATAAACCGTCATCTACCTTTATATGGCTGATGTGCTCCAACCTGCTGCATGGTCTGCGAGACACAATGCAGAAAATCTTACCAGCTGAACACCTTCCTGGTCCAAAGCTGTATCAACCTTTGGTTCATATAGTTGGGTATTTAAGGTTCTATTCTGGGGACGTAGGGCCCTCATGTGGTGAGTTTGATGCATTGCTTCTTATTGAATTTTCTCCACAGTGCTGTGGCAATCTCACGATAGAATTTTGGCAACCTTAAATCTGCAGTACATAGTCTCAAATTGCACCAATTCTATTGGCGCTCCACTCCTGACATATTAAATTCCCTCTGCGGTGGCGGTCCAATACACACAATCATAGGATCTTCTCAATATGCCATTGATACAAGAGGTACAAGCTGAAGTCAGGCACTTCCTAGTTTTTGTTTCATAAGTAGTGAGCTCCACAACCGTGCCTTGAATATTAAATACCTTTAAAAGCCAAATGTGCATGTTTTTATCAGCTCAACAGGTAGTGTAGTTGGAGCTTTCCTCTGTAGTCTGCCATGCCTCTCAAATAGAGTGAGCCCTGGAGGAATGGTAGGCAAAGAAATATAATCTGTGGAAAGAAAATAAATGTAATTTCTTCAACTTTCCTTCTAGGCTGAGTGTTATAGTTGCTACACCTCATGCTGGGAAAAATCTTACCCCAATAATGAAGACCTACATTTCATGGCAGAACTTTGTGTGGCATCAGTTTTTTCAATTCTTCAGTTGTGAATTATCTTCAGTATAAGAGTATACATTTCCAGTAGCTATCACAGTCGCTGCTTGCCTTGTTTTATGGTTTCGGGAAACTTCGGGGAGACTAGTGTACTGGTGTACTAGTTCTGAGGGGAAGGGGATAGCGTGTATTGGGACATCCTCCCAACATGAAAGGCACTGTATAAAAATAATTTGTTGTTATTGCTGGTGGTACACTGGTAGGGAGGATGGCTATTAAGCTGTTTAAATGTTTGTTTTGAAGACCCTTTGACAAGGCACTGGCTGACCACTGGATGCCTGTGGATCTCTACGTCGGAGGGAAAGAGCACGCTGTCATGCATCTGTATTACGCAAGATTTATTAGTCACTTCTGTAATGATCAGAACATGGTCAAATACAGGCAAGTCCAATTCTTCACATAAAGGCTTTGGGGAAACAGGATTATAATACTAGGATTGTGATAAAGTACTCAAACCTCATAGGAAATCAGAGGTTAGACTGTAGTGCCTATTTCCATGTTGTTATTTTAATGAAATATTTTATTTTAATGAAGTCTTTATTTTAATGAAGTTTAAAGCATCTTTGGATTGTGTTGGATTTCCTTTTTGTGTGTGATATATTTTGCTGGTCAGAGTTCAAAAACAAGGTACATATTTTCATTACCTACTGCAGTGCTAGTCATGTGCCCCTAGAGGACACACGAGCTGTATAAATACTTGCTTTGAAATAGGAGGAACTGTTCTAGCAGTTTATTACATAAAATTAAGTAGAATGGGCAGCAACAAAATAGGCCATTTGACCCAACTAGTCATACTTTATACTTCACACGAGCCTTTACCCATTCCCATTAAAGTATACAAGATTTTTCCCGGGCAGGGCGAAACTAGGCAAGTTTCCTTACTCCACACGCCTCTGTTTACCCAGCAGTAAGTAGGAACCCAGTTGTTAATTGATTGGCGGATTGCTTTCTGGGGGTAATAATCTCTCCATTTGAAAAAAATTGGTTACTCAATCCACTATTGTTTGTGGGACAACGCTGTGCGCAATTGGCTACTGTGCTTTGCCCACAAAATATACAACGTGATAAGGCGCTATATCAAATACAAGGATTATTATTGTAAGGATTATTATTATAAAATGCTCAATGAGATAGAGAAAGTTAACCCAGAAACGAGCTTTCAAATACACCAAAATGGCAGGACATGAAAGCACAGGTTCAAGAATTGTGCAGAACAATATTAAGAGACACCAACTTTGTCTTTCCACTTCATCCAGAGCAACTTGGGTTGTGTTGTGGAAAACTGCTGACTTCAGCAGAGGATAAGGCTCAACACATGCTCAGAGAGTAGTTTCAGAGTCTGAGGCTGCTTTTGGTTGGGAGCCAGTTCAGGTCCCGGACCGGAAACTTGCAGGTGGGGCGGGTTTCAAGCGTTTCACTTTTTTTTAAAAAAGCCACCAAAAGTTGAAAGTAGCAACTTGCAACCATTAAGGGGAAAAAAACAGTCATCTTAAAGCTTTGGGGAAAAGTGGCTCCCATAGGAAAAACTATGAGACAAACTGTTAATCGTTGGCCAGTGTTATTATTCAGTCTAGATTCCTTGACATTCTTTATTGAAAATCAACTATCTCTAAGATCTGATATACAAAATATACAGTCAACTCACTTTACAGTATATTCTGTGAAGCGCTTTGAGACGTCTCAACGACATGATAAGGCTCTATATAAAATCTAAGGATAATTATTATTAATATTACTGTAACATTGTTGACACCTGGAAGAATTCTGTGCATTCTACTAACTCATTGTTTGAACTGTGCTTTTCCCCGTGTGATATTAGTGCACTTTTCATTTATACAGTAAACCTGAGCAGAGCTTGTAATGTGTCCTTCATGGTCAGTTTGCAAGTCATTCCCTGATTCGAGTTCCATTTAACCAGGAAGGGTTTGCTGACCTTTCGCATCGATATTAAAGTAAAATGCTTCAACTTTCCTTTTGATTTTCTCCCCTTACTTGACTGTCCTCTGCTGAAGGTGGCAACACATTAGAACTATAGAAAGTTCACAGCACAGAAAGAAACCAATTGGTTTATCACAATAGAATTTACATTTTTATACTGTAGCGCCTTTCACATCGGGAGATCATTTACACTGCTGGGACGTGAACTGGGGGTAGGAGTCGGGGTGAGGAGGGGAAAGATCACCAACTTCTCGGTCAAAGAACTATTCCTTGAGATGTGCCTTGCAGGGAGGGAATCAGAGGGATTCTAGGATGGTTTTTCCAGAGAGCAGGACAGAATGGCTGAAAGTCTGCCTGCCGATGGTGGGTTGGGTAGACTGGGGGACAGAAAGCAGATTTGCTGAGAGAAGAGAGTAACCTGGTTGGTAGGGTTGAAGGAGGTCGTGGAGGTAGGGTGGAGTGAGACCATGGAAGGATTTAAAATTGAGAACGAGGATCTTAAATTCGATCGGCTGAGGGATGGGGAACCAATGAAGCCAAGCAAGGATGGAGGTGATGGGCTTGCAGAGGCTGGTGCGGTCGAGGACACGGGCTGCAGAGCTCATTCTGCATCCAGAGTAATAATAATAATCCTTGTATTTGATATAACGCCTTATCGCGTCATTGAGACGACTCAAAGCGCTTCACAGGATACACTGTAAAGTGGATTGACTGTATGTTTTGTGGGCAAAAAGCTCAATGAATATTTTGATTAGGGAAGAGTAGTGGAGTCAGGCAAGCAGGACGTGAGAGTAGTTAAGACTGGATGAAAGTGTGGATGGGAGTCCTGACAGCCTGGAGGGAGAGGTATTGGCGGAACCAGGTAATGTTATTGGCCATGTGTTGGGGCTACTTGTCCTCTGGAGTTTTCTGCTCTAATTCCTCTTGGTTTTGCACAATTTCAAGTATTCATCCAATTCCCTTTTAAGTGCTGTTGTGGACTCAGCTTATTTGTGATAAATGAGTCCACATTTTTATCACATTCAACCCTCTGAGGGGGAAATTTAAAAAAATATTTTTTTCCTCTCAGGGATTAATCAAATTTATGCCTTCCTGTTACTGCCTCGCCTAGCAGTAAAAATAGACTATCAAATAATTCATAATTTAGAAAGTATTAGATTTATTATTATAATATAATAATAATAATCCTTACATTTGGTATCGTATACCATTCATGTTTGGATTTCTTCCTACATTCCCCTCTGGTTAACCATCTCTTTTCAGCAAAAACAATAATCATTCCAAGTATTCAAGTCTCCACATATACACTATATCCCGCGGGTAACCGGAATTTGTACCTAGCCGGACCGGGCCCGAAATAGACATTTTTAAAAGATTTCTGCGGACTCCCAACACCCACGCTCCTACCGCACGCCCTTGCCTCACCGTGCTTGCTGGCCTTCAGTGGCCAGGCAGGCAGGCAGGCAGCCAGGGCTATCCACTTTCACTCAGTTTGAATCCCGCCAGCTATCTTCTGCTCACAGGATACAAACCGTTATAATTGTTGGTGCTGGCATTGACCGGCATTTTACGGCACTGAAAATAGCCAGCGCCCCAAAATTCCAGAACCGCCATTGTAATTATACTTAGTCATATCTCCCCCACAAGTCTGTTTTTGTGTAATTAGAATTAGGTACAATTGAACAGGCAATGGAATTATAAAGTAACCTCTGGTACCTTTCTTGATTGTATTCAAGGAGGAATTTAGATTGTATTCAAAGAATAATTTACATTGTATTCAAGGAAAATTCTCAACTTGTTTTGAATTTCTGGACTTTCCACAACACTTTGTAATGCACAGTACCATCAAATTGGACTCCTGTGGCTCAGTAGTTACAGCACTCGCCTCGCAAGTGAGAAACCTGGGTTCTACTCCTGACAGGATGAAATGTTGGGCAAGTTTCTTTACTCTACCTAGTAGTAAGTAGGAAGCTGGTGTGAATCCATTGGCGGATCACTTTTCCGGGGATAATAATCCTTCCAAAAAAAAACAATAATAATTTGGTCACTCAATCCACGTTTGTTTGTGGGACACTGCTGTGCACAATTGGCTGCCGTATTCCGGCCACAAAATATACAGTCAATTCACTTTACAATATATTCTGTGAAGTGCTTTGAGACGTCTGGAAGATGTGAAAAGCGCTATATCAAATGCAAGGATTATTATTAAATTATATTTGAGTCAGGGCAGTCTCACTTTATCTTTGGAGCATATTATGTTCAAATTATATTGTGGATAAATTGACCATTTGGCCATTGTTGCAGTTGGTATAATCTGTACTCCCTCTACTTCGTACTTTGTTTAGGGAACCTTTCCGTAAACTTCTGGTGCACGGCCTCATCAAGGGGCAGACGTTTCGACTTCCATCAACTGGCCAATATGTGAAGAAAGAAGACGTATGTTTCAGTGGTAAGCGCTCATTGAAACCAAGTGAAAGGTCAATAATGGAGGATCTTGATATAACACAACACAAATTCACATTTATATAGCGCCTTTCACGTCGGGAAGACCTCCAAAGCACCTGACAGTCCTGACGTGGTACCTGAGCTGGGGGTGGGGACAGGAAAGATGACAGAAGGCATAGTCCAAGAGATAAGATTGAGACAGATCTTAAAGGAAGCAGCACTTTGGAGGAACTCCGGTATGGAGTTCCAGAGTGTTGGGGCAGATAATAATAAAGAATAATAATAATAATCCTTGCATTTTTTTTAGCGTCTTATCACATCATTGAGACAGCTCAAAACGCTTCTGAGATTATATACTGTAAAGTGATTTGATTGTATATTTTGTAGGCGAAACGCGGAAGCCAATTGCGCACAGTAGTGTCCTTCAAACAGTCGTGGATTGAGTGATCAATTTGTTTTTTTTATTACCCCTGGAAAGTGATCCGCCAATCGACTAACAACCGGGTTCCTACTTACTGCTAGGTAAACAGAAGCATGTGGAATAAGGAAATTTGTCTAAGGTTTTGCTCCGCCTGGGATTCAAATCCAGGTCCTCTCGCTTGCGAGGCAGGCACTCTAACCTCCAAATAGGCTGAAAGACCGACTGCAAATGGCATTTCTACGTCTAAAACATGTACTGAATTTCTCCTAAAATTGAGCAATGAAATACATGTACCAGCCTGTACTGTACAGTACTTGTATTATTACAGAGACGTGCTGCACTCAACCACAGTCGTGAGCCAGGGTTTTGCTCCCCGTAGGAAAGTGCCTCGCCTTTCCTGGGAGCGTGATGAGTTGGCAACTTAGTCAATAGCTGGTAGCAGTCCAGAGCTGGCCTGAGTATTACACTATGTGATTAAAGGATCTCAATGTGTCATTTGGAGAACTTTAAGGCCCAGGAGGCAAGGGCAGAGTAGAACAATGGAACTGATCCTCAGTGTTAGAGCATAAACCATCAGGGCTGACTAGATAATATAGAGCTATTCAGTCTCAAAAAAAACGCATGTTAACAAAGATGTACAAAATGCTTATTGAAATAGAAAAAGGAAGCCCGGCAAAGTATTTTCTGTTTCATCACAGTAACGGGAAAAGAGAGCACAGGTTCAGGGATGTGAAGGGCAAATTTAGGACATACACCAAGAAGTATTTCTCTACATAATAACTAGAAGTGGACATAGGGTTAGCATTCTGTGTTGTGGGTGGCCAGACTGCTAAGCAGTACTCCAGGAGCAGCCTGATCAGAGCACTGCACATCTTAAGCAGTGGGAATCTGAGCTCAGCTGATTTGGTCATTTGTTTGCCTTGGTTACTGCTGCAAATCCTTGACTGTCCAGCACCTTGGGACGTTCTTTCGACATGAAAGGAAGCTCATAGACCTAGGAACATATGAACAGGAGAAGGCCATTCAGCCCCTCGAGCCTGTTCCGCCATTCTGTTAAATCATGGCTGATTTATACCTCAACTCCAAATACCTGCCTTTGCCCCATATCCCTTGACACGCTTACCTAATAAAAATCTATCCACCTCAGTCTTAAAAATTTGAATGGATTCAGCATCCACAGCCCGTTGGAGGAGAGAGTTCCAGATTTCCTCTACCCTTTGTGTGAAAAAATGCTTCCTGATCTGCCAGGCTTGTTAAATGTACCCACCAATTCAGAATCACCCCCAGAATCTTAGAAAAAGTACAAATGTGTTCAATTTGCATTTGTTTTTCTTTGTTTGTTCAAGGGCTTGATCCTGTCCATGCAACTACCTCCGAGAAACTCCAGGTCACCTGGGAAAAGATGAGCAAATCTAAGCACAATGGTCTTGACCCAGAAGAGGTAGCACAGCAGTATGGGATTGATACTGCTCGCCTCTATGTTCTATACGCTGCTCCTCCTGAACAGGACATTTTGTGGGACGTTAAAAGTAAGTAAGGGGGTTCCCTTGGTGAGCTGGTTCCAAGGTGATATGCTTGGCAACGGAATGTTAATATTCTTTGGCGGTCTCAATAGTCCGGTTCCTGAGCCAGGTAGCTCCGCAGTACTCCAGGGCACTTCTGTTAACAGACCAGCCAGCCTGGCTCATCGGCAGGATTTGGAGTGACAGACCATTTCACTGGAAGCAGGATTTCTTTCCACTCAGCTCTTTTTAACCCAGCAAGGCAGAGCTTTAACGTGTAGGGTGGTCCTAGCTGGACAACCAGTGGGAAGGTTCCCAGACAGTGCTATCAATGACACGCTATGTGGTTTTAGCTAGTTAAACTCCAGCAGTACCCCAATGCACACGGTGGGGTCCCCAAATCTTGGGTCTTTCCAAACTATGTTTAATAATCTCTGGAATTAGGTAATCAGGTTGCATCCCTCCAGATTTTTTTACCTATAAAAATGATGCTTCACTTCTGAGCAATAAAATCATTGACTATAGTTAAGGCTCGTAAAACGACTTTATGAGTGACCATTTATCTTTTGTTTCATTGTGGTTTGTGATGAGCTTACTGTGTGTTTCACTTTGAACCCAGCGGATGCCATTGCTGGTGTATTGAGGTGGCAGGGCCGAGTGTGGTCACTGGTCACCAAGTTGATCGATGCTCGGCTCACAGGGACAGTGCCCTGTCCTGACCTTCTCAACAAGAAGGAAAAAGCAGAAGCAAAAAAAATCTGGCAGAGCAAAAACTACGCTGTGTCTGAGGTGAGTGTTTGTGGTGTCTTGGGTGTGGGCAATGAGCCTTGTAAATAGTGGGAATAAAATGTAATTGAATGCCCTCCCATAATTGTTATCTCTTGTCACAAAACTACTCTTGAGAATCGTCCCCATTCTCCTCAAAAAGTGCATTCTTTTAAAATGGATGAAGCATAACTGTTCGAACAAACTTTATACCATCTTGTAAATTATACAAGGAGGCACAATTATAGTAATAATAATCTTTGCACTTGATAATGGTGCCTTTAGTGTCTCAAAGCCCTATCCAGGTAATTGCTAACTGTGTAGCCTATGTGCAGAACATTTGAAGATATGCAATCATAACATAATAATCCTTCCATTTGATACAGCGCTTTATTGCATTGTTGACACAATAAGGAGCTATGTCAAATGCAAGGATAATCATAAGCTTTCACAGAATATATTGTAAAGTGGATTGACTATGTATTTTATGGATAAAACGCAGCAGGCAATTGCGTACAGTAGTGTTCCATAAACAATCGTGGATTGAGTGACCGATTTTTTGGAAGAGATTATTAACTCTGGAAAGTGATCCATCAATCCATCTAAAAAACAGATTCCTACTTACTGCTAGGTAAATAGTTGTGTGTGGAGGAAGGACACTTACCTAAGATTTCGCCCCACCTGGAATCGAACCCAGGTCCTCTCGCTTGCAAGGTGAGGGTGCTAACCACTACACAACAGGACTCCAGGGGGCGTGCTTTTAGGTGTCTGCCTGATGTGAAAGGCGCATTTTAAATTGTATTGTATATCAGCACAGGTTCAGTTTTGGCTGTTCTAGTATCCAACTAATTGTTATTGGTTTTGTTTCCCTGCTTGCTGAAATGTGTTTAGGTAACCACCTACATGAGTGAGGATTTCCTGTTGAATGCTGTAATCTCCCGGTTAATGGGCCTCACAAACATACTCTCAGTAAGTGCAGTTCCTGAAATCTGGGGCCACAAAGTGCGAGGTCAGTGACGGATTCCAACTGTAGTCCAGACGGGCAGGGTATTTGTGGAACATTCATCAAGCGCTGCACTGTTAAGGTCAGAATGAGACTTTAAACGTAGATTTTTAATGCTCTTGTGATCGTAACCATGTTGATTTGCTGATATGGCAAGTTTGTAGCTTGCATTTGCAAAGATTCATTGGGGTTAAATTGGAGTTGACCAGCCTGATATGGAATTTCATCGCAGCCCAATTCCTGAGCTCATCTTTGCTGTAGGATAAATTGGAGTGATGAAAAGTCTTGGACAGTCAGGTTGTGCAACTGACTCCTCAATAAGGTTTTTTAAAAAAAGATGCCCATTAAGTGGAGCTGTGTTATGTGTGTTTAGTTGTGCAAGTGGGAGCACTCCACAGTTCCTGAGCAATACGATTAGAAATGGTAAGTATAAAATGAATGATGCTTCCTGTTCCCATTCACAAGTGAAAGACAAGCGTGGTAGAAGATCTGAAGGTATGTCTCCCCGGGGCACTCTCTTGCATCTCTTCATAATTGCACCAGCACATACTATATTTGGGAGCAACTTAAATGCACGCCCGTGGTGTCCTTGGTGCGGGAGACCCGAAATAGGGAAAGAATTGAAGTATAAAATACTCAGGCATAAAGCGACATTCATTTTAAATTGAAATTTAATTTGAAACAGCGAGTCCTAAATGTTTCTTGCTCCCTTCTGACCTTTTAAAAGTTCACCCCCAAAACACGCCATTGGGATACTGTGAATGCTTTGTGAAAATAGATCCCAAATCTAGAAGGTTTCAACCGGTGTAAAATATGGTCACAGCAGCTGCAAGAATTCTCTCTGTGGTCAACTGAGCAATGTGTTGCAAAATGAATACTGTTTACAGTAACAGGAAAGACATTGGCCTCTTCTGAGCTTGGCTTCATCCTCTGCAAAAAAAAATCAGGGCATTCTTCACCATGGCGTGTGGCGAGAATGCTTAAATTCCATCTGCATACATGGCAATTGTCAGCACATACCTCTTCTCTCAGGAGGAAAGAGCAGGCCTTTGAACAAAAAACAGAAACCAGAAGAAGCACTTTATTCGGTCTCTCTGGTACACTGAGAATCCCTTCCTTAAAGCAATACACAGCAGTTGAGCCTCAGATACACAGCAGTTGTTGGCTGTTCGTTGTGCTACTTATATAAAAAACACCTGGTGACCTCCTTGAAAGGATACAGTTAACCCAGATCTCTCCTTATATGCCTTTAAATCAGTTGAGTTGGCTTACATCAGAAGAGCCCCCTGAAGAATATTGTTCATCCAAAAAATTTTCCCCCAGGCAAAATAAGTACACTAACTCTCACAGGGTTTTTGTGAATTCAACTTGTCTATTATTTCTCACGATCTCAATGAGAAAATGTCAAATTTCAAATGTATTATTAACTTCAGGAACTATTTATTTGTTTATTTATTTGGAACTGTTGACTTGCGATGATCCTTTATCCCCTTTTCCTTTTGACAGTTTTCGCCTAGCCCGAGCTGTGTTGATTTGTTGCCAGGGTGTACCCCGCTCTCAGTGGGAGAGTGAGTCACTGTTTCCCAGTCACATGCATGAGCTCCGCTCTGTCTCCTGCAGGGCAGTTCTGGAGCGAGCTTACCATCATTCAGTCCCATGGCCCCATCCATTGCACAGAGAATTGCCTCTGGTTAGCCATACCGCTCACAGGCATCAGCAGCTCAAATGTAGTCCAAAATTGAATTGGGGGGACTTGCACAGCAGAAATTGCACATTACTCCCATTGTGGAGTCCTGTAGCTCAATGGTTAGAGCACTCGCTTTGCAAGTGAGAGACCTGAGTTCAATTCCAGGCAGGAAACCTTGGGCAAGTTTCCTTACTCCACACAGAGCCTAATAATAATCCCTCCAAAAACCAAAAAAACAATAATAAATTGGTCATTTTCAATCCACGACTGTTTGTGGGACACTGCTGTGCGCAATTGGCTGCCGCGTTTGCTCACAACTATACAGTCAATTTACTTTACAGTATATTCTGTGAAGCGCTTTGGGACGTCAAGAAGACGTGAAAAACGCTCAGACTAAGCCCAGTTCCTCTTTTCTCTCGAAAACTCCTTCAATTCCAGAGATAAACTTCCAGAATTATTTCAAAATCCTGGGTAGACCTGTTTCATGTAGGGTTAGCAGCCACCTTCCTGCACCTCACCCTAGCAACCACTTATCATTCGGTATCCAAAAAAAAATCGCCTCAGAGAGTGTTAAGCTCTCATTTGGATTGAAGTTTCTTCCTTTTATTTGTCCAAGCAATATTCCTTCACATCTGGCAGGATAAACACACCCGATCCGGATGTAACTTGGTGAGGGAATTAACAAACATTTTTCTTTCAACAACAACAACAACAACAACAAGATTCCATTCATTGAACGCCTTTCACGTCGGGAGGACGTCCCAAGGTGCTGTACAGTTGGGTCAGGACCCGAGCAGGGGGGAAATGGTCAGGGTGAGGGGAGGGAAGGGAGGGAGCGAGGAGTGGGAAGAGAGTCGAGAGGGGAGCTGAAGGCACGGTCAAAGAGAAAGGTCTTGAGACCGGCCTTGAAGGAGGAAAGGGAGGAAGCGGCGAAGGCACTGGGGGATGGAGTTCCAGAGCCTCGGGGCTGAGAGGCTGAAGGCCCAACCACCGATGGTAGGGCGGTTGGGGCGGGGGACGTGGAGCAGACCGGAGCCAGAGGAACGGAGGGTACGGGCAGGTAGGTAGGGGGATAGTAGGTCGGAGAGGTAGGAGGGAGCAAGGCCGTGCATGGTCTTGTAGGTGAGGATGAGGATCTTGAATTCGATCCTCTGGGGGATGGGGAGCCAGTGGAGGCGAGCGAGGGTGGGAGTGATGTGGTCCCGAAGCCTGGTGCGGGACAGTACACGAGCTGCAGAGTTCTGAATGACCTGCAGCTTGTGGAGGGAGGTGGCGGGAAGGCCGGCGAGGAGAGAGTTCCCATAGTCCAGCCTTGAGGTGATGAAGGCCTGGACCAGAGTTTCAGCAGTGTGAGGGGTGAGGTAGTGCCGTAGTCTGGCGACATTCTGGAGGTGATGGAAGGTGGTGCCAGTTGTGGCGCTGTTATGGGGAAGAAAGGACAGCTCAGGGTCGAACAGAACGCCGAGGTTCCCGACTGGTTTTGAGAGGTGAAGAGTGCAGCCTTGGATGCTGATGCTGTCAGCGCCTGAGAAGCATATTGTCATCAAAAAACCCAGAGAGGGGGACTTGAAAAATGGAAGGTTTGTTAGAAATGTGCAGTTGTTGGTTGTGATTGCTTCCTTCAGCAGATCTTATGTTGCTTTTTCATCAACAACAACTTAAATTTATGTAGCGGCCTTCAAGCGGGGCGGCGTCTCAGAGCGCTTAACAGTGGCGGAGCCTGACGCCGAGCCGGGGGAAGGGAGGAGGTGACCATTTCATTGGAAGATTATCTGTGGAATTATCCAGTAATTCTATCTCCCCCCTCTTTCCTCCAGCACGCCTCTCCTAAAGTGATCCTGCACAGCACTGAATACGAAGATGCTCTGGCCACTTTGTGCATTATGACGGCTCCAATGGCTCCCTTTCTGGCATCAGAGTTGTGGAAAGGTAAAAGGAGAGCAATTGTTTATTTTACCTCTTTAAGAAAAGGAACAACTGCTGTACTTATGAATGGAATATTTAAGAAATCATGTTTATGAAAAGCATAGGAATTTTGGTTTCAATCCCATCTATCCTGAGCTAAACTGGAAAACTGCTGATTCTAATAGGACCAGATCAATTGAGTGACTCTCCCCATCCAGTGCTTTGAGGAGGATGATGCTATTAACCCTCTCAATAACACTGTGAGCAGGGTCAGTGGAAATGTGCAGACCTGCGTTCAGTCAAGAAGAACAGATGTCACCTGGTGTCTGCAATATAGGTGCAGTGAAAACCAATAAAATATACTTTTTTTATTAAAGAAGGACAGCAATGTTTTATTTTAAAAACATATTTTATGTCCTCTTACCACTCCTTTCCCGAAGGTGGGAACTTGGTGAGTTATTGTGTGGCATTTGGAGTGCTATACTAAGCTCAGATCTTTGTTTTATTTAATTGAGTTGAATTAGTATCTCACAAACTGACACAACCAGTGGTCATGCTCCACTTCCAGCCCAACTGTTGTTGTTGGGATGGGGGGTGGTCACATTCTCAGAGCAGTCTTTAGATATCGACTGTTTCATTATGTTTATCAACGGTGTGAGAATTAACATATTAACACTGTAAATCCTGTGAAGAGCTTTGAGATGTTTTGATGGCTTGATAAGGTGCTATACCAAATGCAAGGATTATTATTATAATAATGATGCAAGTTATTTTGTGGAGTGCCGCCCACTGGTAGACTTTTATACAGTCTGTCACGGTGGATTTAAACTCAGTTTGCGCATTGATGAGGGGAGAAGTGGGAAAATAACTGAAAGTGTAGTCAAGGAGGTGATTCTTAAAGCAGACTTTAAAGTGGGGAGAGGAGGGGTGATTCATATTGTAAGTATAAATGTTGTGGGGGAGAATGAACGAAGGGACTGTAGAATTTTGCTTACTAATAAAAGGAGTTGCTGTACAGATATTAACTGTATTTACGTCCAGGCTTTCCTTCTTCTTTAGCAAAGCAAATAGATATTTTCTAATCCAGACTTCAGTGCTTGTTTCAGGATAGCCATGTCCTTCACTGCCGGTTCAGGCCAGGGCGTGATTAGGAAATAAGATTTAAGCGGATGGAATGAGGAGATTGTGTTTAGACGCCCAGAAGAGCTTCATCTCTCTTTAACATGTCAAGACCTAAAATTAGTCATTACTAAATTGAGCTATTCGTGCAGTGTACCACATATAAATAACTTCAAACATTTCTTCCCAGCACTACATAGCTTTTGTTGCACCGATTTTCTCTATGGTTGCAGTTGGATATAATCTCGCAATGACACTTGTTTTAAAGAAGCTTAAGTCACTTTTAAGATGTTTGTAATAAAGCACAAGCTATTGCAAATCATCCTCCCCTTCCCCATTCCGCTCTGCCATTTCTTCTCTTTATTGTAATCTGGGATCAAAGTAAAGCAATGAGAGCCAGAACAGTTGTGTTGAGTCAATATTCTAAGCCACCCAACCTGCTGAGTTGTTTGTTTATCTGAAAACAAATCATCGCTGCTGAAAACGTAAATAGCAATTCACTGTGCAACATTGCTCCTGGAAATCATCAAAGAACCAATATATATAGTTAAAAGTTACTAAACAAACTGATAAGAATCTATACTTATAGTTCAACAGCACCAAACATTTAGTTATTTGTTACCCAAGGCCCACAAAATTGTTTTTAAAAAAAATTGCGGCATTTCCTTTCTGTTGATCTGATCTCTTGCCAGGCTTATCATTATATAGTTGGAACCAGGTTATCCTATTGTGCACCTATTGAAGTGCCACTAGCTTATATTATAAAAACAAGTCCTGGTTCCCAAAACTGCTGACGAAGTTGATTGTGCTACCGAAAAACACATTGGGGAGTAAGTAAGATTCTATTGGTGGCTTTAGTTTCAAGACCATCTATTAGGTAAAAAAAATCAATGCACCACTTCTAAAGATGCTATAGTGAAGGTACGGCAAAAGAGTAGAAATACTTAGTTATGTTTATAAAATCATCACAAAACTAAAATGCCTTATTTGTTTCATTAGTAGCCCCGCATTCCTTTTATGATTTCTGTGTCTAATATCACATTTGCGTTGTATAGACTGTCCTGACAAATGGCATAGCTCAAAACTATAGGGTTCTTCATTCTCAACAATAAGCATCTACTGACTTTTAGTAGTTGGTGATAGGTTGGTGATGGAGAAGAGTTGCCTGGTGTTGTCCTTGGTATCCAAGATTGTCTTGGAGTAGAACGACGATTTAGTGGAGGCGAGGGCAGAGCTGTACGATTTGATAAGGTCCAGCCAGATTTGCCGATGGACCGTTAAGTTTGATTTAAGCCAGATGCGTTCAGCGGCATGCACCTGTGCTTTAAAGGAGTGGAGTTGGCTGGTGTTCCATGGTGACGTACGTGAATAGGAGACAGTTCGGGAAGAGAGGCGAGCAAGGGAATCGAGAGTGGAAGAGAGGGAGCTGTGGAGAAGAGTGGCTGAGGAGGATAGGTCATTGCAGGAGGAAGCCCAGAGGAGAAGGAGTTCAGATGACTCCAAGGCAGCTGGTGGGGTGGGGGAGGAGATTTTTTTCCAGGGGCGGTAGGAGATGGAGGTGGTTTGGGTGGCGGTGGGAAGAGGGATTGAGGAGTTGAGAGAGATTAAGTCATGGTCCAAGATAGTTTTGTCGATGATGATGAGGTCCGAAACAGTGAGACCCCGAGTGATCACCACGTCGAGGGGATGACCGCAGACGTGGGTGGTGGAGTGGATGTAGAGGGAGAGGTTGAGGAAGGAGATAAGGGAGGAGAAGTCAACAAGGTAGAGCAGGAGGGGGTGAAGTGAAGGTTGAAGTTGCCTAGGATGAGGAGCTGTTTAGAGCAAAGGGAGAGGGAAGATAGGAGGGTGGAAAGTTGGGATGAAGGTGGGATAGGGCTTGGGGGGGGCGGCGATAGATAAGGAGAATTTTGAGGGATAGGTTGGAGGGGTGATAAAGGATAAGGTGCTCAAAGGAGGGGAAGGTTCCAGAGGAGTAAGGGGATAGGCCGAGCGGGGACCGGGACACGAGAGCCTCACTGCCACCACAGCGGTTAGGTCGTGGGGTATGATGGAAGGTGTAACCAGTTGGTGTGGCCTTTATCAGGGGGAAGGTGTCGCCTGGAGTGATCCAAGTTTCAGTGTTTTCATCAACAATGAGACCTTGCATGGTGAATGTTTTGGAGAGGGAGCAGACATTTTGTAGGCCGATGCAGAGGGGACAGTTATAGGAGGGGACAGAACTAGCTCTAAGTATCATCTAAAGTGTTACTAACTGCTCCAATGACCCTTTCTGTTAACCTTGGGTTCCAAACGTCTTGAGCATTTTAAGACATTTTTGTTCTATTTTTGCTCCATTTTGTATCGTGGTGAATCAGGGAACAGCGATTTAACAGCTGATGTTCCAACTCTTTCTTTTGGTAAAATCAGTTCACTTTGCACTTTTGTTTGAACCTAATTGATGCTTTTAAAGACATTTCTGGCACGCTTACCTTATCCTAACCCTTAGTATTTTCAGCCTTTCCCAGCAGCTTTGCACACTGAAATCCATTGAATGTGCTTCCTAATCTTACTGTACACATCCTTCATTGCTTGTGCTACCCCAATGTCTCTCATGTTTGATTGTTATTCTGAGGCATATTTGGGATTTCATTAACATTAGCAGGATAAGGAAACTCAGTTCCTTCCTGAAGCTCTGAGTTTGAAAGACTGCAGTGACTCTTGCTACTAAATTGATATCCTGACATGAAGCAACAAGAAAACAAAGTCACTTGTTTTCTTCCTGTGGCATTATTTCATCCCAAACGAAATTTACACAAAATCACTGTTTGGAATCTGCCTTCTTTGTTCATCCTGTGAGCGTGTTCAAAAAAAAACCCGTCTTTTGTGCAAAAGCATCTGCCAAACAACCCCTTTCTATTATTGCAAACCTGGCTGCATGCCTCTGATAACCCACTTTATTATACTCACTCAGCCAAATCTACTTCTGTGTTGTAGACAATAAGTCATTTGTTTCAGTCAGCCGAGTGTCTGACACATGTGCAAACCCATCACCATGCTTAAGAGTATCCAAGCTGAGAATTCCATGCATCTCACCTACACATGGAAATCACAGAGATAGATTATTGGAATGGAATACACACTCTCTCCCTGGAGGGACACATCCTGCTTACCTAACTCTGGAACGTATTAGGCGCAGGTTGGCAAGAGCCAAGGCTTGGGGACCCCAGAGTGTGCATTGAGGTACACCTTTGAACATCAATAAATTTCATGAAGTTGATGGGGAATCAGAACAGGAGAATCTGAGTGATGGTAAAGGGACAGGTGCAGAGACACATTGCTTAAGGACAGTAGGGAGGACATATCAATACCAACACACATGGTGATCTTAATACTGAATAGTGGCAATGATTTACCAAGAATGTACAGCATAGAAACATGCCACGCGATCAAACCAGTCCATGCCTGTGTTTATACTGCACACAAGTCTGAGAGGGTAGAGTAAATTGCAACAATCGAGGGAAGGTCTTTGCCAATATCATTCAGGTTAGAGTTAGAGAAGAAAGTGAGCCAAGTGGGCAGCTGTGCCTTTAGGATAACAAGCAACTGAACCATTGTAACTGAACAACGGTGTTCAGTGAGAGTCCTGGGTTTGATTTCCGGCAGGGTGAATGTTGGGCAAGTTTCCTTACTCCACAAGCCTCTGTTCACCTAGCAGTAAGTAGGAACCCGGTTGTTAGTCGATTGGCGGATCGCTTTTATGGGGGTAATAATCCCTTCAAAAAATAATAATAATTTAGTCACTCAATCCACAGCTGCTGCGTTTCGCCCACAAAATATACAGTCAATTAAATTTACAATATTTTCTGTGAAGAGCTCTGAGACGTCTTGAAGTCGCTATATCAAAAGCAAGGATTATTATTTATTATGTAAAGGAGGATTTGCTGAACCTTCGAGAGGACTTTGGCTAGATACCAGAAGGAAATGCTGCTGGTGGTGCCACAAAGACCACAGTTGATGCTTCTTATCAAAATTGTTGCACTTATTTTCAGCTATTTTCCCCCCCACTAACTGCTTCCCCTCTCCTGATGTGTTGACTTTATTTCTTCAAGACTTTCCACTCTTGAGTATTTTGGGAAAAACATCCTTTTTAGCTTATTACTGCTGCACAAATCCAAATGTTTTTCTGTTCCAGGTCTGTCCAGCGTCCCGAACAAACTTGGTGTTGGCTATCAGTGGGACACAGACGTGTTGTTTCAGCATTGGCCAAATGTGGACAGAGAGTACCTGCAGCAGCCAGACACTGTGGAAATGACGATCAGGGTAAGAGCTGTCAAAACTGGTTTATAAAGTGGTGATAAATCAAGGCTGTATGAATAGAAAATACCTTTAGAATATTCTCAGGAGTACAGCCAGCCAGTTTACTCCCTATATGTCAGATGATTCTCACTCTAATGACATTCAACTGCCAGGTCATGGCCAAGAGTTATAGAGAATGTTACAACTGGCAGTATGCATGTGATACAGTATTAATCTCTGCACAAGGTTACCATAACTATCTTGTGGATTACGTCACTTCTTATGTTTCCACATTACTGGTGAGGTAGGCTCATAACTCTCTGTGTAGATTAACCAACGCAATCAACTATCAATACTTCACACCTGATTAGAGAAGCGTTATCATTATTATAGTGAGGGTCATTCCACTCCTGGAGTTGTCTGTCCAAGTTGATACCTGCCCTGGATAACAGTTCTCTTCCTTCCTCCATATTTAAAGTTGAGTTAATAATAATAATAATCCTTGCATTTGATATAGCACCTTATCACATCTTCAAGGCATCTCAAAGAGCTTCACAGAATACACTGTAAAGTGAATTGACTGTAGATTTTGTGAGCATAACGCAGCAACCAATTGTGCACAGCAGTGTCCCACAGACAATTGTGGATTGAAGTGACCAATTTATTATTATTTTTTGAAGGAATTATTACCCCCAGAAAAACGATCCAACAATCGACTACAACCGGGTTCCAACTTACTGCTACGTAAACAAAATCAAGTTTAGTGAAACCCAAATCAAGTTGTTGTTCCCAGAAACTGCCATGAAATGTTGGGATGTGGCAGTCAGTAGGACCAAAAGTGTTTAGAAACCAGACACCACATTCTATATTTTAGTAATTGTATTATAACCCCATCCTTATCCAACTTTGTTCAAAAGAATCAAAAATAATTTGATCAATGTTTGATGGGGTGGAGGTATAATACATTACAATACAATTAATATTTATGTAACACCTTTTACATTGGGAGGACATCACAAAGTGCTTGACACTGCTGCCCGGGCACCCGAGCTGAGGGTGAGAGCCGAGGGGTAGGGAGGGGAAGACTTGGACATTCCAGCATCTAAATATCCAATATTGTAATAGTTATCACACCACATACTGTACTTTGCCCCCAAAGATTCAATATGGTAGGCATTAATAGGACGCTAGTTAGTGAGCCCAAATTGAAGGGCACAAATATAACTTTTTTTTAACGCAGAGGCTGGTGAGAATGTGGCACTCACTGCTGGAAGCTGTGATTAAAATAGAAACAATATATTTCATGGAAAACCTGATGCAGAGATGAAAGAGAAAATAAAAAATATATAAAAAATGGGGAAGGGAACAAAGAGAAAGACACATGTAACTTTCTCTCCTCGCTCCCTCGCCCCCTTTTTATAAGCACATCGAAGGAAATTCTGCCAGGTCTGATATTCTGCTCCATGTACAAGGTATTTCCTCCATTGTTTCCTTCCAATATAAGGCCCTTAATGTTATTAGAGTCGGATATCTTCCCAATTGTATACCAGCTCACAGATCTCCTTTGCTAGAGTTATTCAGTTGGTATATATGCCAACTCCCCAGTCTTGAAAAGGTTGACATGCGGCCCATGTGAAACACTGCTGACATTCCTTGGTGTGGGTGTGAAGCTGACATGCTGAGACATGGAGAATCTTTTTCATGGTAAATGGCACTTGTGTTGTTGGAAACTGCCATTGCCCTGTGGCAGTAACTGAATCAGACACAGACCACTGAACACAAAGTATGATCATTCCTTCAACCCCCATGATGCCATCAAGTTTCAACCTCAGGTCAATTAGGTATTGATTGAACTCTGGACCAAATTATGTTGTGTAAAGACATCATCATACCAGGACTTAACGTAGCCCTGCAATAGCAAGTTTTGACCGAATCACATTTAGACCAGTTAAGGGCCTCAAAATATTGTATCCTGTGTTAAAGTTGCTGAAGTTGTTGCTTGAGAAATGCAGTTGCTCGTCACAGAGCCACCTGTTGCTCTTGGTTCAAATTGCCTATAAGGTAACCGTTTGCAGCTGGACTGGCAGCAGGGCTCGAGGATGAGAGCTGATGTGACCCTAGAATTCCCACGGTTGCTGGATATCTAAGTTCTGTATTGCTGTCAACATGCCATCATGCAGATGATCCAAAGTGAAGCTTGCGTGGTTCTGGGGACCTGCAGAGTACTACTGGCTATAACTGGTGTAGACCAGTCATGAGTCAAAGAAGTCAGCAGCTCTGTGTAAATGAGCAGTCAATGCACATTGGCAGCTCTACACACAATGGCATTCAACAGAGCTCTGTTGGGAAAGGACTGAAGGAAACTATGTGGGAAAGATGATGTGCTGCAGGGAGAGCTCTAATCATTCAGGGAAAAAGTCAGTGATCAAAGATTTCCTTTGGAGTTGAGAGTTCTCTGGTGTAATGTGGGTCAGGGAATTCCTGGTATAAGCTTTAGTGCGATGATGAGGTGTGAAAGTTTCAGCCACAAAACTATGCCTGTTCAGCTGTTGTGCTGCCACTCAGCTCTCTCCCCGTCTATCATCAACAGATCAACAACAAGGTCTGCGGCTCGGTCAGCATGCCCCAGCAGGTGGCCGTGGATGCCGAGCAAGTGCGAGAGCTGGTGCTGCAGAGTGAGCTGGGCATCAGGCAGCTACAGGGCCGCGCCATCAAGAAAGTCTTCTTATCTCCCAGGACAGCACTCATCAATTTTCTAGTAGATGAACAATAAAGAAAATTTGGATAAACACTGGCTGAACAGCTGAAAATATTACACACTTGAACCCTTGCTGCACAGTAAAATGATGTGGGAATCATCCAGGGAATCTTATTTGGCTGCCTGCTGCATCAAATTGTTTTCTGTAACAAAATCATGAGAACTGGAATACTTCCACTTTGTGATTGAAGGTTATAGAAAACTGAGATACAAGTCCAAGCTTGGACTGTAACTGCCAATGTGATCATGACTTCCAAGGCTAGTCCCATATCATCCCAATAATATCTTCTTCTCACTTGGCACGAGATTAAGAGCTGGATTGGGCAAGAGGCATCCGCCCAGGCAGGACAACAGAAACGTGAACCTTCTGCCAGACTGTTGCGAAGAGGCATTGACAATGATACTTATTTCCTCAGAGACTGGAGTAGGGATGTGGGTGAGGAAACAGTATGCAAAGGAAGAAAATAAATAAAATGTGTTTCAATCACAGATCGCAGATTGCTGTGTGGAATTAAATTGTGTATTTTTAGGCCTGCGGCCACCTAATGTTTTATATATTAATTTAATAAAATGTTACAAACATGTCAAACATTCTTCCAAGTCCAATGAAATGTCAGAAAAGTTATTTTAGCTGAAACTCTTAACGTTTGATCAAAAATAAAATTGGAGACATAATGTAAGATGCAATTTAATCTCATGAAAGCCCTTCCCATAACAGAGAGGGTAAACATGTAAACAAAATCTTTTGCTTAAACTGAAACTAATTAAAACCATGACAAGGCAGAAATGTGGTGTGTATGTAACATGTGGGTTACATAGCAGCAAATAACAATAGGTGTCAGCCTGGCTCAGTTGGTAGCTCTCTCCCCTCTGAGGCAGAAATTGTGGGTTCAAGCCTCAAGGCAAGGACACTGGGAAAAACTCCCTTCACTTTTCGAATATTGCCTTGGGATCTTTAATGTCCCAAGCATTAAAGAACAATTTAAAGAATAAGTGGATAGGGCCTCAGTTTAACTTCTCAAATGAAGGATCGCGCCTCCAGCAATGCAGCACACCCCCAGCACTGCATTGCAATATCATTTTAGAATATATGAGTTCCAGATCCTCCCAATTGTTCAACCCAGGAGGGAGTGTCACAGTGAGACTCATCGTGTCTTCACTCAATTCCCACAAGTGCACTTCCAGTAGGAGTGCTGGATAGCAATCAGAGACAGGAAACCTGGCTTCCTAACTCGGCTGCTGAAACCCAAGTGCAGTGCCTCCTTCATTGCCACTCCAGCTAAGATCAGCTGTCTTCCCTACAGAGACCCAGGAAGTGATATTTATGCGGTTTCAAAAGCAGTTGCACTCATCATTCTCTGGAAAATCCCAGAACAGTTCAATGTGACTACAAGAGTGTGCAGGATGTCTGTTTTTAGCATGTCCTCTTTTTGGTCCAAAATGTTATAACTTGCATTAGTTCACTGACGCACCACATTCCTCATTAACATCCGGGAACAATTACGCATCTGAAAAGTCTTGAAGGTATACAGGATTTGACTGACTTTTCTTGCCTCGTCCCAAGGGCGTGTTGGCAAACTGGCTGGGCACTCACTTCTATAAGACTGGGATTGTGCGGGACAAAACCTTAGGCAAGTTTACTTAGTTCTAAAAATAGGAATCTGGTTGTTAGTCGATTGCTGGATTGCTTTCTGGGAGTAATAATCCCCAAAACAATATTTGGTCATTCGATCAACGACTTTTGTAGATAGCTGCCACGTTTTGCCCATAAAATATGCAAATAATTCACTTTACAATGTATTCTGTGAAGTGCTTTGAGACATTTTGAAATTGTGATAAAGCTCCATATAAAATGCAAGGATTATTATTATGGTCACAAATATGCCATCACTGGTGCACTGGGCTGTTTTAGGGACGTTCGACACATTCCATGTCTTGGGCTGGGCGGCACCAAGCTTTTAAGCCAGCAACCTGCAGTCTGCAAAGTTATCTGATAACCAAATGAAGCCCTGTCCCATTTTATTTGAACACAGCAGGGCCCTTCCCTGACCTGCAGGAAATATATACCCTGTGACTTTTATCACGTTGATACTGAAGCACATAGATAGATCCATGATCTGTACGCAGGTGATAAATATAGCAAGACTGGCAGCTGTCTTTATTGTTAGTCTGTTGGAAGTATTATAAGAAAAGGAAATCAAACAGTAACTTTCTTCAACTAGCTGTGGATATTTTAGGTGTCTGCTTTTCCTCAAGGTTTTGTGATTTTGTTCAGAAATAGGGACCAGTATCGCCAAATCCTGTCTAAATATTTTTAGAAATTGACATTTCTTTTTCCACTTATTACAGTACAGTAATTTTTTCAAATTTGCTAAAATGTTACTGTACTATAACTCCAATACTTAAGTTTGGTTGATATTCTGTAAAATTACAAATACAGACATTGTTATGGTGAAAATCTTAAAGAAAGTGTGGGCTGTATTCACTGGAGCAGAGTAGTTTGGGTGGATCTAATAGTGTGTTCACAACTATGAAAAGGTTTGAGAGGGTAAGTAGTTAAAGATGAGCTGCACTTCTTACTCACTTGGCAACAAGCAGACATTATTTCAGCATTATTACTAGAAGCACAAGAGCGGTGAATAGAAAAATGTGTGCACATCAAGGATTATTAAATTGTGCAACACATGACCACAAGTGCCTATTTGAAACCAAGTCAATTCTGACATTTAAAAGGGAATTAGATGAACACGTGTAGGTTGAAAATATAAATAAACAAATGCGAGATTAATAATAAATAATCCTATAATCCTTGCATTTGATGGAGCACCTTATCACGTCATTGAGACATCTCAAAGCGTTTCACAGAATATACTGTAAAGTGAATTGACTGTATATTTTGTGGACGAAACGCAGTGTCCCACAAACAGTCGTGGATTGAGTGACCAATTTATTTTTTATTTATTTTTTGGAAGGATTATTACCACCAAAACGATCCACCAATCGAGTTAATTATGACAAGGATGGGATTAAAGTAGATGGTGTGAAGTTAGCAATGCACAGACACAATGGGTCTAATGGCTGATATTTCTTTATTTTGAAATAAAGTCTAGATTTCTTTATGGAGGGACTGGCTCATTTTGCTTCAGAGTTGCAAATGCAATTCCACTGCTTCAGCATCAAGCAATTCCAGCAAATGCCACAAAAAGTGTTTTACATTTATTTATCGCAAAGGAAGAGGAATTATTTGGTTAAATACTGTTACCGGATGGATACTCATCTGCAGTCCAGTTTACGTTGTAACATTGAGTCCGTTATCCTAAGTAATCTTGACTTAAAAGCATCCTTCATGAAGCCCTGTGTAAAGCTCCCTCTTCAACAGTACACTGTCAGCCAGGTACATTCCTCTTCAGCCCACTTGCTCAATGGACAGAAATCAAGCAAACTTTGTTTATTCTCTCCTTGTCTCCACCAATTATAGGCCAATAAATGATGTGCAGCCACAAATTCCAGCTAATGTGGTGCTACAGCAAATGGTTGATGGATGGCCCAGCCCTCTTGGAGTCCTGTGAGTGAGGAACTCCACCTGTGTCTAGATTTACTCTACTTCTTCAGCATTTCAGATCATCCAGAATTAGGCAAATTCTAAAATGCAGTCTTAATTTGCCTACAAACACATAGCCATTACAATAAAAATAATGATCCTTGCACATCACTCAAAGCATTTCACAGGATATACTGTAAAGTGGTGTGACTGTATTTTGTGGATGAAAATTACACTTTACTGTACAGTCCTGAGAAGCGCTTTGAGATGTTTCGATGAAGTGATAAGGCGTGTTATCTCTTTCAAAATGTGAGGATTATTATTAGAGATTTGAAACCAGTGTTCTGCCAGTTTTTTTTATATAACTAACGAAAACCAGCTTCAATTAATACTGAATTCAACAATGTGCCACATTCTGGACACTCTGAAATGCTAAGTAAATAGAGTAACTCTAGACAATGTGGGAATTTCTCTTCGCTTGTTGTTTGGAAGGGTCTGTTAATATTGTAAAGAGATTGTAAAATGCAAAAATAGACATACACACACCTTACAGATACCAATTAATGTTGCTTGTTTTTAACAGGACTGCAGAAAGTCTAAAACCTTCCAGATCTGAACTCCTCCTCAACTCATCAACATTTTACCAAGATCGCCTTTTAATTTGTGTTGGGATTAATAATAATAATCCTTGCATTTGATATAGCTCCTTATCACATATTTGACACATCTCAAAAGTGCTTCACAGAATATTCTGTAAAGTGAATCAATTGACTGTATATTTTGTGGACCAAACACTAAGAGAAAAACAAATCATAGAGATTTAAGAGAAAAAAAAGTCATAACACAAAGAATGCCTTGTGATTTTTAAAAAATAATAATTCCTGCTACTCTTATTAGGCTGATGTGAGTGTAGTGATTCTCTCTCTATCTCTCTCTCAGTGAAACCTCATGTAATGTCCCATTGTCAACAAAGAGCCCTTTGATATAAAGCAAGAAACAGCACAGACATTGAAACTGGGTGCTTCATGTTTTAGCTCTAACCATTCAAGGACATACATTCCAGCCAAAGGAACTTTGTTGGCAACACATTGTCATTGTGTCATTACTGGTTACACGGTGTCTCGCTAGATTAGATCAGAACCTAGCATTAGTATCAATATTTGTTCAGTCAAATTAACCCTGCCCTAACGGATAGGGTGGTCTTAGCTGGACAATCAGCGGGAAGCTTGGCAGGCAGTACTTTCAATGGAAGTTATACAGTGTTTGCTGATTCAACTCCAGCAATACCCCAGAATTAGGTAACAAGACCTATCTCTTGGACCACGCCTATGATTATCTTCCTCTCTTCCTTCACTTATCTCACGCCTAACCCCGCCAAAACTATTGGTTGCTGTTCCTTCAATACCTTATTCTCTGGAACTCCCTGCCTCAATCTCTCTGCCTCGCCCCCTCTTTAACTTTAATTCCCACCTGAACACCTAACTCTTCGAACTCGCCTATCTCCCTTGTTCAGGTCCAACCCTGCCACTGTACAGTGCTCCACAACGCTATCCTGCATGAAGAGGAGCCATATAAATGCAAGATATTGTTGTTGCATCCTTCCAAAGCACAAGCATATATTTCATTACAGATACGTGGAATGTAAAAATGTGTTCATTCAGAAAAATACAAGTTGTCTCCAACATTCAAATCTTCCAATAAATGTTATAGAGTTTTATGAAAGTCCTGCCAATGCCGTCCACCTTATTGTTTACCACACGAGACTTATATATATTTTAAGTGAGGGGGAACTCTTTCTAATTGAACTAGTTTTCCCCTTGCATTGCCTTGGCAGTGACTCATATGAGAGAATATGAGCAGAGTCCCTGCAGAGTACTTCGCCCAATGATCAGTTTTTAGGTGTGAGTCTGAATAGTGAGCACCAGCAATCTTATTCAATCAGCCATTCACATCTTACCCCCTCTGCTCAGGGAACACCTGCCTGCTTTATATCCCTGACAGAAGAACCCAAACCACCTGAGGGTGACTTTTCGGCCGTTCTATCCCTG